CGAAAATTTGAAAACTGGTCAGAGCTTAAAAACCACCTTAGAAACGCTTTTGGGGCACCGCATTCGATTAATTACTTGCAATCGCAACTTAGTAATAGTCGACAACGATCCGACGAGGACGTACGTAGTTTTGCCGGTCGAACCGAAAAATGTTATCACGAATTGGTAGGAGCGTTAACATTAGGACTAGAACCAGCAGCAGCCGCAGCTGTAGCTTCATCGCATAAAGCATTGGCACTTACTGCATTTATTAACGGGGCGAAACCAGCAATTAGGTCATTTTTACGAGCACGCGCTGTATCATCTCTCGAGCAAGCCATTACTATCGCTATTGAGGAGGAACAAGACCTCCAACACATTAATAGACGTTTTAATTCAGAAAAAACTTACGGGAAAAATAACGCGAATAAAAAAAATATTAAGTGTAATAAATGCAGCAAAATGGGTCACTATGCAAACGAGTGCCGCAGTAACGCCGGTACCTCATACAGCACAAATTTTAGAAATCCCGTTAGCAGTCGTGACGATAAAACCAGTGTAGTAAAACACGAATACCAAGGTCAAGTTAGATTCTGCTCGTACTGTAAAAAAACAAACCACAATATAAAAGATTGTAGGAAGCGTATTTATAACGAGAGTAAAAAAACGAGTAACAAGGAAAGTGAAATTCCTAGTACCAGTCGTACAGTAAACGAAATCAACCAGAATCATGTAAGAGTTGTAGCTAATTTCGAAGAGGAACATATAATATGTGCATCGGATAATTTCAAACCTCATAAAATTAAATTATTAGTTGATTCCGGCGCGGAAATGAACCTTATTAAAATAACCGCGTTAGAGGGACACGTCGTGGTAAACGAATCCGCGAAACGCACAATTAAAGGCATTAACGAAATTCCGATATTCACCGTAGGCACAATTCTAACCAGTATGGAAATTAACGATGTAGAGGTGCTTATTAAATTCGACGTCGTTTTTGGCGATTTCCCAATAAACGAGTCAGGCATCATCGGGCGTAACTTTTTGAAACAAAATAAAGTCATAATGGACTATAGCCGAAATTTATTAACGATACCCGAAAAAACTGGTTTCAAGGAAATTATACTACCGCAGCGTAGCAATTGTGTACTACTTATAAAAAACGACGAAAATATAAGTCACGAGAATATTACTATTAAAAAACAAGACGTAAACGAAAACGTGATAATCGCGAACAGCATAAGTCCGGTCAATAAAAATAACATTATTAGTAACGTAATAAATATTTCGGAAGAACCTTTTGTAATAGACGAGCTTACCACGCAACATATCGAGTGGGAGCCGTATACCGAAAATGTATTAACTGCATCGTTCGTAGATGAAAAAAAAACCGACCGTATAACACAGATCAAACGCGAAATTAAGACCGACGATTTAAATAAAGAGGAAAGCGAAAGTATCCTTGAACTATGCTGTAATTACGCGGACCTGTTTTACCTTCCGGGCGACTATTTAATCGCCACGGAAATCGTGACACACACTATAAACACGCCGCGTTGCACGAAACCCATTAATTGTATGACCGTATCGTTTACCTTGGGCGTACCAAGATGAAATCGAAAAACAAATTAAAGAAATGAAAAATAACAATATTATACGCGATTCTAAATCACCTTTTAATTTTCCACTAGTAGTAGAGAAGAAGAAAAATTTAGATCCGACAGGGAAACCCAAATTACGAGTATGCGTAGATTTCAGAAAACTTAACGAAGTAACCGAGAACGAAGCTTATGGCCTCCCAAATTTACTAGAAATATTAGAATCTCTAGGATCATCCAAATATTTCAGTACATTAGATTTGGCGTCCGGTTATCATCAAATACATATAGACCCGGCTGACACACATAAAACAGCTTTTTCTACGAAATCCGGTCACTATGAATTTTTACGCATGCCCTTCGGGCTGAGCTCAGCTCCAGCTACGTTCACACGCGCAATGAAATCTGTACTTATGGGCCTTGAGGAAATGTGCACTGCATATCTTGACGATATTGTAGTACATGGATCCAGTTTAAAGGACCACCAAAAGAAATTAGAACAGGTATTCAATCGGTTGCGCGTACACAAACTCAAATTACAGCCTAATAAATGTTCTTTCTTACGGAAAGAAGTATTGTACTTAGGACACGTAATAAACGAAACGGGAGTTTCCCCGGACCCAAACAAATTAAAATGTATCAAAGAATATCCTCGACCAAAAAACGCAAAAGATATTAAATCATTTTTGGGATTACTAAACTATTATAGACGTTTCGTCGATAACTTTGCGAAAATCGCAAAACCATTAACTTACTTACTTAAAAAAGACGTACCATTCGAATGGACTGATAATTGCGAACATAGTTTCGAAGAACTAAAAAAAGCTTTAATGAACCCACCATTACTGGTCTATCCGGACTGGGAAGCGGGAAAGTTCAACTTAATGACAGACGCAAGCCAATATGCAATAGGAGCAGTCTTATCACAAGGGGAAGTCCCTAAAGATCAGCCTATCGCTTATGCGAGTAGAACATTAAATAAAGCCGAGTGTAACTATAGCGTTATTCAGAAAGAATTATTAGCCATCGTCTGGGCCGTGAAATATTTCCGACCATATTTATATGGTCGACATTTTAATATTATAACCGATCACAGACCGTTAACATACCTGTTTGGTATTAAGGACGCGTCATCGCAGTTAATGCGCTGGCGCTTACAACTAGCCGATTACGATTATGATATTACGTACAGGGCCGGACCCGAACACTCGAACGCAGATTGCCTGTCACGAATTCGTATGATACAACCCGGTCCAACTAGTATGACCACCGACTTCGACACGTTCCGAGCTGCGGAAAGCAAACCCATATTTAATTCAAAAATTATAGAAGTCGACGATGACCTAGTCAAGGCCATAGAAAGAGAAAACGTAATAATAATGATTCCTGAGGATAAAATTATAACAAACCCGGCAGTGCGTGAAGTAGTAAAAAACATAGATTTAAACAAAATCCAGTTTTCGGATACAAACAAGTTTTACACTATCGACAGTGAACCGAATTTACTCGTATTTTATGGGCTAAAGCCAACTCATACAACACCACTTAACGCCGAGGTAATTTACTTAGCTATAAACGATATAAAAACATTTTGCATGTTGAATAAAATAAATGCATTCTCTACCAATAAATTAGACGGACCTACCTCACTAACCGGTTATCCGCGTATTCGCACGATGTTTCGACACATTTTCAAAGCAACCGACATCGTAGTAAAAATATATGTAGGTCAGCAATTAACGTCAGAAGAAAAACAACAAATCATTTATGAACACCACAATTCACCTTTGGGTGGACATTCCGGAGTATCACGTACCGTAAAAAGATTAAAACTTAATTATAACTGGCGCACAGTGGGAGGATTTGACGTAATACCGCGACAAAAATAAAAAAAAAATATATCAAAATATAGATAAAAACTACGTAATTAACATTTGTTATTATCTAGTGGTCTTAAAATAGATGATTATCTAAAATTATATTCTTTTATATCAATACTATTAGTAACCAGAGCGACGCTGCGACGGTAATTTTGAATAATCATCATTACCTAGCTACACAGTACACACGGTTAATGTTAATTCTTGTTTTCAGTTTTACGAAATCTTAAATTATTAAGTTTATTTAGTTTATACATTTTATACAATGGAAACTATTGGACAAGGTATGTAATAGTTAATAATAATTTATTTAACCCTTCAATTAAAAATTAAATATTAAAACTGCAATTACGAAATACCAAAATAAATAATTTATTTTATAATTAAATTGATATTAAAAAAAAAAAACGTAAATTAGCACTCTAATTTTTATCATATAGTATAAGTAAACTTACTATTAAGTCAATTTTAAAATATGATCTGCCCAAAGTTGCCCATTTATGTGTAGTTATTTTTATAGGTATTACATACCGTGATTTATTCAATGCGCTGAGAGGTCCACAACGCCCGCGACAGTTAAACCCGTGTTCCATCGATAGTCGTTCATTCTTATGTGATTACATTAAAAACAATATTAAACATTCTATTGATGAACATTATGAAGCCGCATTGAATGCAAAAATTTTGGCATATACTATTACATTAAATCGTAAATGGTCAGCGGTTAATCGTACTGCAAGTACATTTAATTCAAAATACGAGGGATGGTTAGATACTAAATTTGATTTGCCAAAAAACGAAAAAAAAACCGTTGATCTTCGTGGTCGTCCATCAAAGCCATTTTCAGACTTATCTGAAAGATCTAAAATTCGTAAAGTTAAACCATTAGTGGAGACAATATCACCAGACAGATTACTTCGTGCAACAAGAGTATCACTTTTTAAAGAAGGTAAACATGCAGCAGCCGATTTATTGAAACAGTCAACTGAATACTCTCCAAGTCGTCCTGCAAAAATTAGGAAAACTTATCGTGAATCATTAGAAAAAAATAATATAATACCATATACCGTAGATGAAGCGCTGGCTCATAATATGGTTAACTGTCGTATGACAAAAAATGTGTATCACCAAACTCGATTAGGTTTAAAAGAACATGGGGTAAATGTGTATCCTTCATATGATCGAATACGAGAAGCAAAAAAATTGTGTTATCCTGAGGGAATAGAAATATACGAATTTGGTGTGTCTATACCTCTCCAAAGTTTATTGGATAAACTTTCGATTTACCTGAGGATTTTAATTTTTTTGCAAAATATGTAAAGGCTGAGTTTATTTTTAAATGGGGGTGTGATGGAAGTTCTGGTCAAACCGAATATCACCAAGCATTTACCCAGAATACAAATTTAACCCTAAATGACCCACATTCAAGTAGTGATGGAGATAACGACACTGATGACTGTGAACAAAATTATGAACAAGATGTAGAATATACCGATGCAAACATGTTTTATTTTCTCTTGTTCCTTTACGATTAACTTTTGGTATGACTGATGACACAAATTATATTTTATGGAAAAATTTAACACCATCTTCCACGCGTTACTGTAGACCCATTAAATTTTTATATAAAAAAGAAACAAAATATAATACTTGCAAAGAAGTCGAGGCAATTGAAAATGAAATAAATGCCTTAGTCCCAATTGAAATTGTTATAAATAATATTTCTGTTCCTGTTCACTGTAAATTAGTTATGACAATGGTAGATGGAAAAGTAATAAATAATTTAACTGATACGTCAAGTCAAAGATGTTTTATTTGTAACTGTGGACCCAAAAATATGAACGATTTAAAAAATATACAAGAATTTAAAATTAATGAAGATAATTTGAAATACGGGCTTTCTACATTGCATGCGTGGATCAATTTTTTGAAATGCATTTTAAATATTTCATATAAATTAAATATCCACGAATCAACTAGTCGCATGTCTAAAGAAGAGAAGGGAAAAGTTTTACAACAAACAAAAAATATTCAACAAACATTTTGGAATGATATGGGGATAAAAGTTGATAAAATAGTACAAGGTCAGGGTACATCGAATACTGGGAATGTAGCAAGGAGATTTTTTAAAAATGCAGAAATGTCGTCAAAAATAACAGGTGTTGATTTAAATCTAATTAAAAAATTAGGTGATATATTAATTGCAATATCTAGTGGATATGAAATTAATTTTGAGTCATTTGATGAATATTGTAAAGAAACAGCCGAATTATACATTGAGTTGTATAATTGGTATCGCATGCCTCCAAGTATGCATAAAATTTTGTTACATGGTTCTATTGTAATAAAACATGCACTTGTACCAATAGGATTATTATCTGAAGAAGCCCAAGAAGCATGTAATAAAAATTATAAAAATTTTAGGGAAAATCATACTCGCAAAACATCAAGACTAAGTACCAATACTGACTTAATGCATGCTCTATTAATTAGTTCAGACCCAGTGATATCTTCTAAGCGAAAAATTTTGAAAACACCATTTACAGAATTACCATCCTCGGTAAAACAATTAATAATTACAGAAAACGATGAAGAAACAGAAGATTCAGACGTATGTTCTGATTCAGAATAACATTTTTTATTAAATAAATATTGTATCTATTTACCTATCGTGTTTTCACACAATAATTAGAACTAAGCTATTTTATTAATTTTCTTTTGTAAATATAAACCTATAAATTATAACATATTATTTAAAACTATAATTAAATATATATAATATGATTTTATTATGAAATATATTTTTGTCGCGGTAAAACCTCAATTCCTCCCACTGTGTGGCGTCACATGAAAAAAGACGTAAAATATTATATTAAACATTGCGAATTATGTCAGAAAAATAAATCGCACGTAAAAACAAAGCAACCAATGATAATTACTAGCACGGTAGTTAAACCATTCTAAAGGGTTTGCCTAGATATAGTAGGAACCTTACCGAAAACACTGACAGGAAACATGTATATTTTAACTCTACAAGACGAACTAAGTCGTTTCTCGCTAGCAATAGCGTTATCCGCCACAGACGCACAAACGGTAGCTCAGGCGTTCGTAGAATGTTTCGTTTGTATATACGGTATACCCGAGTCAATTTTGACTGACTGCGGAACTAATTTTTTATCCGATGTATTCAAAAGCATGTGCAAACTGTTGGATATAAAAAAATCTAAAACTACACCGTGGCATCCACAAAGCAACGCTTTTCTAGAACGTTCTCATAAAACATTAAAAACTTATTTACGTAGCTTCGTAGACAAAGACAGTAATTGGGATAGATTATTGTGTTACGCTACTTTTTGTTATAATACAACAGTACACACTTCTACTGATTTTACGCCTTACGAACTAGTATTCGGAAGGAAACCAAATATTCCATCAGCTTTCAATAAAAATCCCGAACCACAATATAATTACGACGATTATGTATTCGATCTTAAACGAATTATGCAAGAGGCACATAAAATCGCTCGAGATAACTTAATAAAGAAAAAAGAGGCAAACAAAAATTATTACGATAGGACCCTAAATGTCATTGATTTACATGTAGGTGACAAAGTTCTTATCAAGGAGCACAACAAGAAAAATGCACTTAGCTTAAATTGGCAAGGACCTTTTGAGGTACTCTTAGTACATGACAATGAAAATATTACAATTAAAAAAGGAAATCGCGAGTATCGTATACATAAAAATAACGTAAAACGTTATTACGACGATGACAATACCGAATAAATTATTACAAAATTCATTTTTCTTATCTACTTATTATAATTTTTCTTTTCTACCAAATTCTTTTATTATTATTTTAGGGACAAACGAAGAAACTTTATGACCACGTTCCGTACAACGTTAATAGTACAACAGCACTGCCACACGGCTTTATATCCCGACGAAATTCCGCGCTGTATGCTTAACCATATAGACACGGCGAATAAAAATTTACTTCAACCGTATACGCCAGTGGAGCTGTTGGAACTCACTCGTACAATTAATCACTTCTCGCACGACTTAACAAAAACATTAAGACCTCTACGCAAACCACTTTGTTCATATCTAAGGGAATTTTTGGAAACAACTGAACACCCAGTAGATATACTTGATTATATGCGACTTTAAATTTAAATTTAAAAAAAAAAACATGTACTTTATTAGCATTTCAATATCCATTTTCTTTTATAACTATGATAACTATTTAATTCTATTCGATTTTTCTATTAACTTTTCTTCGAATGAATACGTATTTTATAATAACGTCTTCATTTTGACATATGTAGATATATATATATATATCTATCGTATATATATGATGTCCAATACATATGTATATATATGTTTTGTTTTTAGTGAACCACCCGAGTTCGCGGTCGTAGATTTTGAATTCACACAATTAGGAAAAGAAAATTTAATCTTAATATCTGGCGCCGTATGTGGTCATTATGAACCATTAATTACAAAATTCGAAGGACGCGCACTCAAACTCAGAACCAATGAACCAGTAACTACCAGAGAATGGAAAGCTATGGTACATCACCTTGTGAACATTTTTAAGGGAAAACCTAAAAAGCTATTCCCTATACTTGCGCAAATTTACGACTCCGACCATACTTCGTGTCCGAACTTAACTCGTACCACGATACAAACAATACTTAACAAGTATAACTTTATAATTCTGTGGGAAGGTTCCACTGACATTAAAATTCTGAACGCTCTCCACATAAGTTGTCGAGCATTGACAATGCGAGGGTGGGACACAAATAACAATGGAAACTTCGATCTACAACTAACGGATATGCTTACGAAGCAATCCATCTGTTCCATTAAAATAGGAACGTTTGAAAAACAAGGACGCGCTTTAAAACTAAGCGAAGCTCATGAACTCTTATGTAAAAATACCCACGGATTTTCCGAAGCTCACGATCCTAGAACAGACGTTCTATGGACCCGTTGTTTATTCCGTAAATTACAATTAGAATTTCACGATTTAATCAAAAACACAATCGGATGTTAAAGTACAAATTTATTATTATTATATTATTATTATTACTTATAAAAGTAAACATTATATAGGGTGACGGAATATATTATTTTATTATTTTACAATTATAGTTTTTTTTTATAGCAATTATGCATTTTTTTCTATTTGGGATTTGGGAATAAGATTATTCATATTATTATTTTAATTTGCACTTATATATATAGAAATAGGTTAATTTTAAATCTAATACATTTAACATAAAATTACCTTGACTAATAAGCTGAAACGGTTTTCAGACTTATACTACTAACTATACCATTCACGTCGGGACGATTTCGATACACCGACGAACAATTAACACAACATTCCGGTCTATACTACGAAAATCGGGGACCATTGAAACTTATCACATCTCAATGGGACTTAACCGCGTATATTAATTTTGCTAAATACAAAGAAAGATTTATTTATATTGACGATGTTATGAACAAAACCGAATTAATATGCGAAAGTATCAAAAATAATGTTGATACCAATTGTAACAATTTAATGCAAACATCTAGTAGCATAGTAAACGATTTACGTAAAAAGAAGGAACTAGTATTAGACTCTATAGAACATACAGTATCTAAAAGAAGTACATTAGGCATGTTAACAAAAGCAGCCAGATTAATATACGGAATATGTAATCTGGAATGCATTAGAAAATTTAATTTTAATATAGAACAAACGCATAACGCACCGCAAACTAAATTAGTTAAAGAACAAATAAAAATAGTTAAGTTACAAAACAAATTTGATGAACACGAAAACTACAATATGACCTTTTTAATAAACGAAAATAGTAACGTATCTAGGGACCAACAAACAAAAAATTATGTAACAAAACACTTTCTAATTATAAATTTATTATTAATGAAGCATCTAGTAGAAACCAATACTTTATTAGAAATAATACAACAAGCGAAGTTAGGGATTATCCATACCAGCTTAATATCACCACGGGACCTTCTAGAGCACATAAAAGACATTAAAGTATCGTTACCTGGGGGCACCGACTTACCCACCGATCTAGATATACAAAATATCTATGAATTGGTAAAGCTCTCAGACCTAGCTATATATTATGTTAATGACAACCTAGTTTTTATATTAACGTTACCATTAATCTATCAAAATGATTTTATTCTATATAACTTAATACCTGTACCAGTTTGTACTGGGAATGATTGTCTCTATGTTAAACCTAGTAATAAGTATCTAGCTATAAGTAAAACTAAAGAACACTATGCCATGTATGATGAATTTTACTATACACATTGTAAGCACGCTAGAGACTTCCTTTTATGTCCTGAAGGTAATCCTTTATACCCGCGTACAAGTAGACCAGCATGCGAAGTTCAACTTTTGCAGGATCCAATAAAAGTTCCATCAACTTGTGAAGTAATGCACGTCCAAATCGGAACATCCATATTCCACAAGAAACGATTCAAGAACGAGTGGATATACGTAACTAATTATGATGTAGTATTTGTTACATGCGACGAAGACAAGGAATCCACAAGTCACACACTAAGGGGAGTAGGCATTTTGCGACTCAACGAAACTTGCAAAGGATACGCCGCAAGAGACGTACTTATACCAGGAAAAGTAGACTACAAATCTGAATATATGGATTTCAACCCGAAGTCAACCATAGAACGTATCAAAGATATGCCGTACACCGACAACAATAATTTGATGGAAGACTACCACGTAAAAACAAATAACATGGATGACCTACATACCGTGTCAGGTTCAAAGAAACAACTTGAAACACAACGCAAGGTTGATCACAAGATAAATGAACTAAAGAATACACAACAAGTAAACGACTACGTACTTTACGTAATCACAAGTATCACTGTTATGGCAATTATCATTATATGTTTATCCAAATACAATAACTTTAAATGTTACGAAAAAATAAACACGGAAGAGGAACCAAACCAAGATGAAGAAAGTGAAAGCTTAGCTACAGCACCTAGAGCAGTCGACATGGTCGAATATCCTCTTACGCCTAGGAATAGCCCAATAAGCTATCCAAGTACAAGACAGTTTAACTTCAATTAAAACTTTTTCGGAAGTCAGGGACTTCCAGCTTCGAGGGGAGGAGTGTAGTAAACCGACAGAGTCGCTTTCCTATAATTATACATCATAAGGACTTTGCACAATATGATATATTGATCAACGACTATACCACGCCCTGAGGATTTATTACATATTTAAAAATCGCATAACGATTTCTAATAATACATATTGCCAAATAAACCAGTTCACAACTCAAGGTTTATTCGACAACTTTTAACATTTACGCCGGTACCTTTCATACCGCCGGTATTCCTTTGATCCACCTCCGAGTCTCTACTGTGTACCTAATAACCTAGGGAGACTTTGTATATATACGAGTCTCCGTCTGTATCTAAATTAGAATTAGCTCAGTGCTAGTACGACGTACATACTTGTAAGTACTTAGTATTAACCACTAATCTCTCGGGCAGACGCTTATCGCTCTGTCCTCAAATTTCTATATTCAAATGTAATACCATTATATTATTATTAAC